TGGGGCTGGGACAAGCTGCCCCACCAGGGCAGAAGGGCATGTAACTAGGGGACGGGGGCTACAGGGGGGAGGGGATGTAGGCACAGCAGCGCTTGGAGCGAAGTCTATGCCTTGCTGCTGCTTACCCAGCTGGGGCAGGAGGGGCAAGATGCAGGCACAGGATGCGCCCACAGCTGCTGCATGGGTACCAGGTGGATGGGGGGTGATCCCCATTGCCCCCCCACTGTCCTGTGCTGTGCAGAGGGGCTCTGCCATGAGTACTCAGAGGCCCCAGTTGCTGCTGCTGCAACCAGTGAGTGCTCAGCTTTTTTTTTTTAAGTGCCAGGAGGCTGGGGCTGGAATCTCCAATTCTGATTCAGCCAAATTGAATGGGGACAGTGATTTGAATCACCGATTGAATCACTGTCCTCCGAATTGACTGAATCTGAATCGAATACTTCCCTATTCACACAGGCCTAGTGGACAGCTTACACCCTGGGCAGCAGCCATGCACAGGGCAACAGCAGTGGGGGTAGTTGCTATTTTTGTGCCCTGCCCCCCCTCCGCCCAACTCAGTGCCTGGTGCTGATCCCTGACTCACCCCCTTTAGTTATACTCCTGAGCCAACATTTCTCCGAGATCTAACTTCCTAGATATTTTGTTAAACAGAAAATTACTTGGAAGCAGTACAACATTGCTGTCTTTCAGCAAGCATAAACTGAAAAATAACCTGAGTATATGAAAGACATATAGGCAAAAATTATAAAGGGGAGTGCTAAGAAGTGTCATTCATTCAGCTTATTAAACAATGATCATTTTAATGTTGATTAAGAGATTACACTTTTCTAAAGAAATTTAAAAATACTTGAATAAATTCTGAGACTCTGCAGTGTTGGCTAAAAGTTCTATGGCTTCATCAAAACATTTTGGAGTCTCCTGAACTAAAAACAAAAGATTTGAAAGAAATATCTTCTCCAAAAGATACTCAAGTCAATGAGGTTGCTGAGAAAGCAGAATTTGAATCTCAGATGGCAAGTAGGAAAAGCAGATATTCATTCATTTGTTTCAGAACCAAGCATTGTTAAAAATTGTTCATGCAGGCAAAATTATGCAGTGATCAAAACAAATTATCATATTAATTTGTATGCCACACCTCTCCGAATGAGATGCACACTTTGTTTTGGGGAGGCAGAATGAAGAAAAAGATTTTCTGAGTCTTCCCTGCCCCCATATGGACTCAGCCAGAGCTGAAGAACACTCCAGGAGCATGAAGCATGGATACAATACTGTCCTCAGCCTCACTCCCCTTCCCCCTTGCTGCTTGGCCAAGACAGCTACTGCCAGTTTGGCAGGGACTGTTAGAGGGGTAAAACTGTAGCTGTGTTGGCCTTGGAGCAGGGAGAGGAGTGAAGGGGCGATGGGACTCTGCTCCTGTTTCAGAAACCCGGACAGTTCAGACCTGGCTGAGGTGGAGTGTAGCACAGCTCCCTGCTGCCATTCTGGAGTAGAAGTAAGCTTCCTTGCGTAAGACATGCACCCCAGTTTTGGATGGCTGATTTTCAAGGAAACGGTGTGTGAGATATGTGAATCAATATGGCACATGGAGTCCTTCATAGCTCAGCAGTATTTCTTTTAGAATACTGCTAGAGGCTTGTGGTTTCAGCTGCAGTGGCTGCCATTTACCGATTTAGTTTTAATCACTTGCATTACATGAATTACTCTCACTGGCTCCTGTGTGTAAGACTAGTGCCTTCTTTTTTATTTTGTGATTCTGCTACTAGTATTCAATATCTTGGGATGTCACTGTTAGGCTTATGGCAAACTACTGCCTGTTTCACCGGATTTCTTGGAATTGCTTGGATCCCTGGGATCACTAGAGTTGCTTGAATGACTGGAATCTGTTGAGTCACTGGAGCTGCTGGGAGCACTTAACTCATTAGTATCATCTTGACTAGATTCACTTGAACTCTTCAAGTCACTGGCCATGTTTTGGCCATTTTGTTGAGCAGACTGCACAGAGTCACTATTGTTTTCTTCCTGCTGACTGGAGATAGCTTCATTCCCATCACTGCCATTACCTGCATCCTCCTCTTGCATGGCTTCGTGACTAAAATAATAGGTGTCAAAATGAAGATGGCCTTTATGTATTTCATTGTCTTGTCTCTCTATATTAAAGTGGCTGGTAATGTGGGGCTCTACCATATCTTGCTTTTCAGAAGAGAACACCGTTTCCTGAGGCACGAACTCCTCTTCTTCCAAAGCTGAATCATGCCCTACATTTTTCCAGTTCAGCTGTTCAGAATGATTTTGTTCAGTGCCATTTCTGCTAACATGTGGGTCTATGTAAGGACTGTTAATGCCTTTTCCTCTTTGGAGTTCAACATTATCATCAACACTTTGTGTTCCCTGGATATTGTTCTCAGCAGCATCATTGCTCTTCTGGAGACTAGTGTCCTTTTGGTTTAGCTGATTATTAGATTTATCCTTATGAGTGCCTTGGATATTGCTATCAATGGTAGACACCTCTTCAGTCTGATCCAGTCCACTTGTAAAATTAATTAATTTTGTTTCCTCCAGGTGCCCATAGTTTCTGTTCTCACCATTTTGTTTGTTCCCCACATCATGCTCAGAGCTGTTGCTTAAGACTTCTTCGTCTGTGTCAATGACATTAAAACTGGCAGTGTTTGCCTCATATTCACTTCCAGATAGATTGGCACTCCTTTTAATCTGCCAAAGGGTCACAGCAGATAGCAGTATTATTTTACTAAAGCAAAATAAATGTATATCTTATTTAACATCACAAGATACAATAGCGTTGAAGAAAGTAACTTTGACATGCAAATTAATTATTATTAATAATTTCCTAATAGTTGGGAAAATCCACTGTAATTTGCACAATACCCATCATTCACTATAGAAAGATGTTAGTTAGAAGACAATGAATCCAGCACCAGCATTAGACTAGTAGAAGATTCCTTTGATATTATAATAGTAACAGGTAAATTTCAAGTCAGGGTTATTTCCCCTTACAGACTTCATTAGGAGCAGTTTGATTAAAGACTTATGATTCAGAATGAAAAGTCCAGTGTATATAGTTAAACGCAAAGTCATCAATTAATTTACTAGTCACTTGTTTTTGGTTTTTTTTGCAATAAAGGTTTAAGTAAAATTAAAAGCATATGAACACAGTATCAAAATAGTGTATCAGTGTTTTATATATATAAAATAGTGTATCAGTTTTTTTTATTTATATATATATATAGAGAGAGAGAGAGAGAGATTCAGACAATTTAGACCTCTCTGATGAAATAGAAGAGATCAAGAAAAAAACAGCATTCTTTGTTAAATTTTGCAAATTCACCAATTTACACTGTGGATGCAACTACAATATAATACATGGAAATATGACAGTCATTTCAGTAATGGACTGAATGACCATTTCAGGACTAGCTCATGAAATCCTTGTAAATTCCTAACTCTTTCCATGACACTTGGACATAAGCGCCCAAAGTGCAAATCTATGAAATAAAGTTTGTTCTCAGCAGTCACTCCCCAGTTCTAGAACTCCTTCCACCTTGCAGCCTGTCAGAGCAGGGGGGCGGAGGGTAGGCATCTTCTGGAAACATTTTAAGATCTTTTTATATGAGCAGGAGGAGTCAAGTTTGGCTGACACTGTTTGGGGAATCTATTATTTGTTGTTTTTTATACACTATTCTATTTTAATGTGTTATCTGTTTTTAATAATGTATTTAATTTTAAACTGTAAGTTTAAAAATTACATTTAAAAGCCTCCCTGAGCTGTCTCTGGGGAGGGTGGCCTATAAATCTAAAAAATAAGGTAATGGATTATACCAATCATTTTAGTGCAGTATGCTAGTTTGTTTTTTCATACTTACTGGAGAAGCAGAGGTTATACCTAGAACGTGTATCATCAAAAGCAGAATATTCATGTCAGAAACTACTTCCTATAAGAAACAGAAAGTATTTTACTTTTTATCAATGCCACTATATAACAGAGACATAATATTTGATGAACCCAGGTGGGCACATTGTCAAAGCACAGGATTTAACAAAGCAGGTTGAAGTACACTGTCAGAAAGCTACAGATCTCTCCTTAGCAGCAGGTGTTGGCACTACCCTCTAGGATATCCAGACTGAATCACAATACTGAATCATTTATGCTATGTGTGGCTTGTTAATTTTTGCCTTCTATTGAAGGTGTTTGGTTTGATAAAAAGTAACGGAGCTTGGGAGAGAGAGGTCTATATCAGAAAGCCCTTGGGATAGGTCAGATTAGGGAAGTTGACATTGGTTGTTGTTATCAGTTACCAACCTCCCCCCCACCCCAAAAAAAAAAATTCCAGGCTGGGGGCATATTTGGACCAAACCGTGTGTTTGTTCTGTTCATAACAAGGAGACAGCTTTGCTTAAGCAGGAGACAGCAACTTCTGACATGGGGCTGGATCTGACCCACAAAGAGATTGGATCCAGCCTGGAAAGGTCCATTCTAGCCAGGGGCAGCACAAGGGAGTGGAAGCAAGCAGGTGCACTAACTATGCTGCCCATCCCCTCCACAGCACACTCCACTGCAGCCCTCCCTGCTGCTCTCTCATGCCTGCACTTAACCAAGATGCAGAACTTGCCTCTCTCTATTGCCACTGGGGACAGGAATCACTGGTAAGAACAAGAACACGTGGCTTAGGCAACTCAGGGGATGGAGATTTGCCTATCCCTGTCTTAAGCTACTTCCTTCTTTTGCATCAAGCAAACTCTCATCCTTCAAACCCCTGCATAAAATATTTTTTGTTATGGGCTTCACTTCAAGTCTGAGCTACTTTCCAATATACATTTAAAGCCTCAGGTGTATCTGATGGGTCTCATCTCCATCTCCCTTTTTTCCAACTTCTGTAGTCTTCTAAGTAAAAGAATGTCTCTAAATTATAACTTTTACCACTACATCATCTGTCTTAAAAATGGCTACAAAAACTCAATTAATCCCAAAATCCATGAATGCAAATCTAAGGAGGAAAGTTTACTAGCACATCCCTCTGAACTGAGTCTTTACCTATCATTTCCCTATTTCCCCTTTTCTGCTGCTGTTTCAACAAGTCGCTGTGATTATCTCAGGAGGTTTCATTTCTTTTTCAGACCAAGGAAGTATCAGATCCAGTTTCTGATTTGTTTTTGGTGGGAAGCTTCTCCTCCAAGTCTTGATAAACTTGAGTCCTTATGCTGGGATCTAACTGATTTGCACTTTTGCCAGTTGTGCTTCTGCTCAAAGTTCATTAGGTCCAGACTGCTGAGGCTGATTTCCTTTTCCTGCATGATAGTATTTGCATGTGTGGGTGTAGGTACATTTTCTCGTATGGACATGGTTGCTTCTTGTGTTCTGGAACAATTGGTTTCTTCCTAAGAAAAATGTCCAGATTTGGGCAGTGACAACTGAGAAGATCATCTGAAGGCATGAATGTTGTGTCTTCTACTGAGAGCACACACTTAACTGGATTTGGTTTATCACAAGGCACCAGATGTGAAATTGATGCAATCTCCTTAGGTACCACAAGGAATGGGAGTTGGTCTACTCTATTTTTATACCGGATGCTATCAGTGCATCCACCTTTCACTGGGCATTTATACACATGCTCTGGGCAAAGGGCAGAGGCGAAGGGGGGAAAGTGCCATTTAATTAGAGCAGCTCCAAGAGCTGGATTCCAATGCAGTTAAAATGGGTACTCATGTGAGCACTTCTAATCTTTTATTTTTTTCTTTGTTAGGCATTAGTGGTATTCATGTGAAACCTCTACTTGGCAAGCAGCAGGTTGTTTAAAAGAGGTCGCATTAAATTCCTCTTAGTTTCCCCATCTGCTCATCTCAATAAGCCTTTTGCGAAGAAAAATGCATTTTTTTAAAAAATACTATTGGGCCTCCTAATGATGTTTACTGTTCCAGGAGAGATCTTCTTTAATTGCAAAGCCTCCTATTTGTCTGTGCGTCTGTTTACATATACAGGACAATGCCTCACACCAGTTTAATCATCTCAGAAATGCAGCCAAACAGTCTGCCAAATTAGTGCACACTGTCAGCCAGTAACAGATTTCATAGTTTCATAGTTTCAAAGTTAGTAGGGTTGGGAGGGACCTGAGCAGATCATCAAGTCTGACCCCCTGCCATGGGCTGGAAAAAGTACTGGGGTCAAATGACCCCAGCAAGGTGTTCATCTAGCCTCCTCTTAAAGACCCCCAGGGTAGGAGCCAGCACCACTTCGCTTGCAAGTTGGTTCCAGATCCTAGCCGCCCTGACAGTGAAGTAGCGCCTCCTGATGTCTAGCCTGAATCTACCCTCTGCCAGCTTGTGACCGTTATTCCTGGTCACTCCTGGTAGTGCTCAGGGGAACAGGGACTCCCCTGATGCCTGTTGGTCCCCCTGACTAGTTTGTAAACGGCCACTAGATCCCGCCTCAGCCTTCTCTTGTGGAGGCTAAACAGGTTCAGGTCCCTTAGCCTGTCCTTGTAGGGCCTGCCCTGCTGACCCCTGATCATGCGAGTGGCCCTCCTCTGCATCCTCTCCATGTTGTCCACATCCCTCTTGAAGTGCAGTGCCCAGAACTGGATGCAGTACTCCAACTGCAGCCTGACCTATGTTTCATAGAGGGGGAGGATCACCTCCTTGGACCTGCTTGAGATACAGCTGTGGATTCATGACAAGGTGCAGTTGGCCCTACTGACTGTGTCCTCACAGTGACGCGTCATGTTCATCTTGGAATCAATGATGATTCCAAGATCCTTTTCTGCCTCTGAACTGACGAGAAGGGAGTTCCCCAGCCTGTAGGTATGGTGCCAGTTGTTCCTCCCCAGGTGCATCACTTTGCACTTATCAGTGTTGAAACCCATCCTGTTCTCATCCGCCCACCCCTGTAACCTGTCTAGGTCCAACTGCAGCCTATTCCTCCCGTCTAATGTGCCCACTTCCCCCCACATCTTAGTGTCATCTGCAAATTTGAACAGGGTGCTTTTTACCCCCTCATCCAAGTCGCTGATGAAGATGTTGAACAGTGCAGGCCCGAGGACAGCCCTGGGGGACGCCACTACTCACATCCCTCCAGGTTGAAAATGACCCAGTCCACTACCACTCTCTGGGTGTGGCCCTCCAGCCAACTACTGACCCATTTGACTGTGTAGGTGTTGATGCCACAGTCCCCTAGTTTTTTTAATGAGAACAGGGTGAGAGACAGTGTTGAAGGCCTTCCTAAAGTCCAGAAAGACTACATCCACTGCTACCCCTGTGTCTAAGGATTTTGTGACCTGGTCATACAAGGCCACCAGGTTGGTCTGACAGGACCTGCCTCTAATGAACCCATGTTGGTTGCCACTAAGCATAATCCCCCCTCCTGGCCCCTAGTGGACATGTGCCAGAATAATTCTCTCAAAAAGCTTCCCCAGAATCGAGGTGAGATTAACTGGCCTATAGTTTCCTGGGTCCTCCTTTCTCCCTTTTTTGAAGATGGAAACCACATTGGCCCTTTTCCAGTCCTCTGGCACCACACCAGAGCACCATGAGTGCTCGTAAAGCTGTGCCAGGGGTCCCACAATGACCTCTGCTAATTCCCTCAGCACCCTGGGGTGGAGATCGTCAGGACCAGCTGATTTAAATACGTCCAGTCCCTCCAGAAGTTCCCTGACTAGATCCTCACTGACCCTAGGCCTGGGTCCACTTCCCCTGGGGCCTGCAGGGGTCCCAGTGGGGGGGCTGATCCAGTCCTTGCTCAGGAAAATGGAGGCAAAGAAATTGTTAAATAGGTTAGCTTCGTCATCTGGTGTGACGACCAGATTTCCTAGCATGTCTTGCAGAGGCCCCACGTTACCCAGTACCTTCTTTTTACCCCCTATGTATTTAAAAAAGAACATCTTGTTGTTTGATTGGCAGTGGAAGCATCTGCTATAGATTACTGTGATACTCCTGTTGCCTACTTTTGTTCCCAGTGGTTACAGCACAAACTGTACAGATGTAAGCCTCAATCATCACAACAAGGTCTCAGTCCTTACGTGCCACCCAAAACTTAAAAAAGTCACATTAGTTTGCCAATCCTGGCTTTGTGGTTTGCTGAGTGATTTAGCACTAAAATGAGCCAAGCCATCTGAAATGTTTTCCTGGTAGCATAGGGTCCACTCTGCGGAAAACCATAGGGAGGTGGAAAACATATAATAATGGCCTCTCCTCCTCTCAAGGGACTTTCTTCCCAATTCAGGAGGGAGAGGAATTCTCTTTATGTGGCTCAGAAAGAACTCCTTGCTCTAATAAAAGGGCTGGAAACAAAACATCAACAGATGACAGATTGCCAAGGTCAAAGCCAAGAGATTGTCAAAGTGGAGACAATGTTCTCTTCCACTTGGTAAAGGCTATGGGGGCTTTATAGGATGCCAAGGCCAGCAATGATAACATCCCACTGCAGGTGCAATTGAACCAGGGTAGAGCCTCTCTTACAAAGTGACTCTTCACAGCAAGACTGAGGAGTTCGTATAAATAGTGCTGGGAACTGTTAGATGGGCCTTGAATCAGTCTAGTGATAGAGGACTTACATCATTTCCTGGAAGAAACCAAAATCAGGAGGTTGAGGTGGGATCTGTTGTTACATCTGGGCCTAAGTCTCACTTGCACCATCAAAGCAGTGGAAAGGCCTTTGTGAGAATGTGTTTATTTCCCCCCACCAGTTTATGTAGGGGATGGGACAGGAAAATCAAGTACATCTGTTTTTTCAGCACAGAGGGTCAGTCAGAACTAACAGTTTCTAAAAAACATATTTCATTCCTTGGATACCACTGGCTGAAAGGAGACCCAGGAATCCAGGTGATGACACCAATGCCTAAAATAGCATTACATGGCCACAAACACCGGTATTTTCCTACTTTTGAATCTGTTTCGGGTGCTGAGGTGATGAAACCAAGGAAGAGTCCACACTTCAACCCTTGCAGAGGTTTGGGGAGACTAAGTTGAAATGTACATGGGGCACGTCCCCACAAACAAGAACATGCTTTTCCCTGGGGACAAACAGCAGTGGCACAATATGTCCCCACTGCTACTTCTCCCTGGGGAACACCCATGCATGTGCACTCTGGCACACAGCATGTTACCCCAGGTGGGGTAGGGGAGGCTGGGGCCAGCACCTGGGGTGCCCCAAGCAGCCTTACCTGGGGGTGCCAATGGCTGCAGCTGCAACAATCCAGCAGCAGGGAGCCTGGCTGGCAGCCAGAACATGGGTCCAGCTGGCCAGGCTCTGGTTTTGGGTGGCACATGCTGCTGTCATGTGCACTGCCCCACTTTTTTTAGGTGCAGATTTTTTTGACACCAGGATTTCCACACTGCAAATTAGCAGTGTTGGGAATACCTGCATATGGGGTGCATGCAGTATGCAGTTCTACTGAGGGGTCTGTGGTGCCATGTACCACAAGTGCACACTCATCTGAATGCACCCAAGGAGTCTGAACTTCTGTGGACCAGACTGTGATCCTTCCTGTGTCAACCACAGGAGCCTGTCCTGTGCTGCACAAAGGCCTATCCTTAGTTGTAGCCTCTATTTCTTCTGAAAAATGAAACAGTGGGGAGGAGGTTCATGACCTGTCTCTCACTCCCTGCAGGACTTCAAGCAATCTGAAGACATGTCCACCTTGCAGTCACAATAACAACTTCTCAGTAGGTCAATTAGCCTGCTATTCACGCTGTCACAACTATCCTGCTATTGACACCCTAATAAGTGAGTTCAAAGCTGGCTTTGGTATCTTTACTTTAAACATACACTAAGACTTCCTTGTGGATTACACAGTGACTGCACAGACTGAGCAGCCCCAGGAAAGAGATTGCACCTCAAGCGTTAGAGTCTTGTACTCTCTGAAGTGGGGTATCTGGAGCCCGGCTGCCACCTACACAGATTATTGTGCAGCTTGCAAAACCTTCATGCCAGACAAAAAAGCAAAGGCAAGGTAGTCACTCCAGAGACTTCCTTTCTTCAGCAGCAATACAATTTCCCAATTAAAATGCAGGCACATATACAAACATCACAGAAGCAGCTCAATAAAGAGGAAAATAAAGAACATTCTACCTGTTTCTTGACATTAGCATTTCATGAAAACAAATACAACTTTGAGTTTTACCTGGCGACCTATTTAAAGGCTAACTGAGAACCCACATACCTTGCTGGAGCACCACAGAGGAGGATCTAACAGAGAGCAGCCTTTGAGGAAATTTTCTAAAGCCTGAAGAGAAATCTGATACAATGTTGTGCTGCTTATGTTCTTTGAGTGTCAATACCTGGACATATGAGCTACCCTGGTACTAACTTACAGGAATTTAAGCTTTGTTTGAGCTTCTAAGCAACCAATTGTAACACAGTAACTTAAGTATGACTTCACAAGGTCTTATGCTAAACCCCAGTAATCTCCAACCATAGAATCCAAGATGTGTTCACTTGCCCTTTTGTACTTGAAATTATTTGGCTACATTCCACAACATTTGACATCCTTGTAAAGAAGCTGATGTGAACTACTAGAAAAGAGTATTTTTCATGAAGCTATTTATATTTGTTAATACTAAGTTATTAATTTAGTTATTTCTTTTACTTAGTCATTGACATTACTATTATTAGACACATATGCCTATATTTTTCAGAGTAATATACAGGCCTGTTGTAAGTGAAAGGTAATGGTCTGATGCTTTATTCCTCCCAAATTCTTTTACTCTTCCTCTGAACAACAAGTTTCTGAATAGTACTGACGTAAGCCTTCATGCAGCTCTGTTGCCCTGATTATCTTTAAAAATCTTCTCATGATATTCTTCTTCTCCCTTCATGCATTTCTCTTACTGTACTTCAACAAGTCTGCTTCCCTATATATACTTGGAATGAACTTTGCTTGAATGATGATTGTGAAAACTATAATTTTACTGCAAATGTTAATTTTAGTGCAATCAAATAACAGGCTATAACAAGCTGGAAAATTTATCAGTACTTTAGTCCCATTTCTTCATATTACAGTGGCACCCAGATGAGCATGACTGGAGATAAAGTAACACTAAAGTTAAGAGTTTACTGAGGAGGGTTGTGTGCTTGCTGGTACTTACAAAAAAATGAGCACAATGAGATTTGAGGTTTTGGGCAGAATTGGAAGATATCAGTCTCCCCAGTAATCTGGGTATCTGGAATGGTTGGAGCCCATCTTTGAGACCATATGACAGGACTTTTACCATTGACAACACTTAGGGCAATACTGGCCCTTGAAGAGGCTACTGGCTACCTTCCGCCAGGTCGACATAGAGCTGTCTATTAGTACTCTCTGGGTCCAACCCCACAGCCAGTTTCCCACCCATCTTACCATTGAATTGTTGAGCTCATAGTCCCCTAGTTTTACTTTGAGAGCTTCATGGAACACCATGTCAAAGGTCCAAGTAAATGTCATCGACCTCATCTCCCTTATCCAGGTGGACAGTAACCTAGTCATAGAAGGAGATGAGATTAGTCAGACATGACCTACCCATGACAAAACTGTGCTGGCTGTCATTCAAATTTTTGCCTTCTACTAGCTTATCGCATATGGACTCCTTGAGAAATTTTTCAAAGATTTTTCCTGGGATTGAGGTCAGGCTGATTGGCTTGCAGTTCTCTGGGTCCTCTCTCCTCCCTTTCTTGAAGATGGGTACAACACTGGCCCTCTTCCAGTCTTCTGGGACCTCTCCTGAGTGCCATGAATTCATAGTTTCATAGTTTCTAGGGTCAGAAGGGACCTGAGCAGATCACCTAGTCCGACCCCCTCCCATGGCAGGAAGAGCACTGGGGTCAAATGACCCCAGTAAGGTGGTCATCCAACCTCCTCTTAAAAACCCCCAGGGTGGGAGCCTGCACCACCTCACT